GGGGGTCCTCTCAAAGGTGCCCAGAATGTACTCAAACTCCTTGGCTCAAATGATCCTCCTGCCTTGGCCTCCCAAGTAGCTAGAAATACAAGGGTATCACTGCACCTGCTTAATCTGACGTTTGGTAACAGAGAATCCTACAGTTTTTAACGATCATCTATCTTTACTTTTCCTTTAAATTAGGGGCCCATTATCTTCCACCGCACCTCCCCGCCCCCTTTTTTGAGACAGTCTCTTGCTCTGTCACCAAAGCTGGAGTGCAGTAGTGCCATCTCGGCTCACTGCCACCTCCATCTCCTGGGTTCAAGCAATCCTCATGCCTCAGCATCCTGAGTAGCTGGGATTATAGGCATGCGCCACCACGTCCGGCTAATTTTTGGATTTTCAGTAAAGACAGGTTTTCACCATATTGGCCAGGCTGGTCTCGAACTCCTGACCTCCGGTGATTCACCCGCCTCGGCCTTCCAAAGTGCTAGAATTACAGATGTTCAGTCACTATAGTTAGCTGAGCCTTATTATTGTGGAATTATGGTAATCAAACCATACTACTGAGTAGACCATACTAAATTTCTGGTTTTAAAATTTAATACATCAAAATATTTACCATAAAGGTTTTCAACATTTTCAAAATTGTTTTAAAATAGTAATCTAATTATTTCAAAAACTGTTGTCCCTGTAATTCTATGCATCCATTTATTTGAAACATAAGAGATCCTTGGGCTTCACCAAACTGCCACAGGGTCCACAGCACGAAAGTGGCTACGAACCCTAAGAATTCATCTCAGGAGTAAGACATCAGAATTACACTACTAACAGTCAATGGTCAAGCTATGCCTTTTTTTTTTTTTTTTTTAATTCTGCTTTTCCAGCAAAATCACTGATGATGGTTAACGTGGTCAAGACAATTTACCCTACAAAAGCACACATGTAGGATACACCCCTCACCTTTACTAAGGAGCTCCTGAAGGGCTGCCCTGGCCAGGGAGCCTCGAATCTTCAGTCTCTCAGAGACTACAGCTGGGGTTATAAGTTTATAGTTGGGAACTTCCTTACAGAGTTTGTCGTAGGTAGCTTTGTCAAACAAGACTAAGTTATTGAGCTTGTCCCGAACTTTGCCTTTGGACCACTTCTACTCACCAAAACAAAACAGAAACAAGTTAGTATTTCTGGCAGAAGCACCCTTTCCCTCTCGAGTAATCTGCGTCAGAGAAATCTGTTCCATCATCATCAAAGATAAATTACACATTACTAAAAAAAAAAAAAAAAAAAAACCCGACAGGTGCTTGGGCTTCAGAACAGGGGCCGAGCCCCACTAGATCAGTTAAAAATCACACGACAGGCACAGAGGCAGACACTTTACACACTGGTCTCATTTTCATGATCCTAATGGAAACTAGGAAAAAGAATGAATGGTGATGGGAGGATAAACTCTCACATTTTTACTCTAGAAATCTATACCTGAAAAACCAATTGCTATACAAGCTACCTATTACCAGAAGGCTACGGGAGGGAACCCCTAGTCTCTCTCAGAGGGATCTTATTCCTACCTTCTTTTTGGCCTTGCCCCCAGATTTGTTCACTGGGTCTTTGTCTTTCTTGGCCGACTTTCCGGCGTCCTTCTTCTTCTTGTCGTCCTTGGGCGGCTGTAGGAGGGCAGCGGGAATGCAACGAGGTCCTCAAGTAGCCCCAAACTCCCCTAATACTGCGCCCTCAGCCCCCGCAAACTCCACCACCGAGCACATGGGCGAAGCAATAACCGCGCCCGCCCTGCAACCAAGGCCGGCAGGCCAAGGAGAGCTCCCGCCGAAGGCTCTCCCCACTGAGTCCTCAAACCCAAGAACCCCGGCGAGTTCATACCCCTGAAGCTTACCATTGCGAAGCTCGGGGAGCAGCAGCAGACACCGCAGGCTTGCTAAGATGTCGGACAAAAAGGAAGCGCTGCTCACAAACGGGCCCAGAAACCTCCGTCCGCTGTAAGTACTTCCGGGGCAAGAGGCGGAGCCAGGAGGAGGAAGTCCTACGGCGAAGCGCTCGCCCTCTAGCCTCAAGAGGAAGACAGGAAGTGAATTCCAGTTCCCAAGCCGCACCGCCTAAATACCACGCCAGGTTGTCGGAGTCCGGGCTAGTTGTGACGCAGTACTGTAGTACTGTTTTCCGGCACTGATAAACGGAAAACAATCCACCAGGTCTCGGCAACTAACTTTCCGGCACTACTTATGCCCGAGCGTGTCGCTCCCAATGCGCAGGCGCCGCAGGTGCCGCAGGTGGCGGCATGCAGGGCCTGGGAGGAGGAGGAGGAGGAGGAGGCTGGGGTGGGGCCGGGGGCAAGTGCTGTGATGCGGTTCCGGGGAGGGGCTTTCGGGTAGCGGCCGAATGACAGTTTCCGAGCGGCAGCGGCAGTGATGGCGATTTTTAGTGTGTATGTGGTGAACAAAGCTGGCGGCTTGATTTACCAGTTGGACAGCTACGCGCCACGGGCTGAGGCTGAGAAAACTTTCAGTTACCCGCTGGATCTGCTGCTCAAGCTACACGATGAGCGTGTGTTGGTTGCTTTCGGCCAGCGGGACGGCATCCGAGGTGGGCTAGGCTCGGGCCGGAGGCGGGGGGTGGGGGGGGACGGGCCCCAGTGCTGCAGAAGTGGGTTGGTTGTAGGTGCAGGGCTGGGGGAAAGGGGGTGGTGTCGGGTCTCTTGTCCCCGCGGCGGAATCCCGGGGCTGCAGTTTCGCTGACCGTTAGCTTTACCTCTGCAGTGGGCCATGCAGTGCTGGCCATCAATGGCATGGACGTGAACGGCAAGTACACGGCCGACGGGAAAGAGGTGCTGGAGTATCTGGGTAACCCTGCTAATTACCCGGTGTCCATTCGATTTGGCCGGCCCCGCCTCACTTCTAATGAGAAGCTCATGCTGGCCTCCATGTTCCACTCGTAAGTCCCCCGTCTCCTGAACGGCAGCGCTTGTAATTTGTCTACCTTTTCTTAAATCGTCATTTTGGTGTTATGAAAAACGCAACCGATCCAGATCTAGATTTTAGGTAATAGTGGCAGTGGTGTCATTTTTTTTGTAGGGGGAGAGGAGGGGGCACGGAGTATCGCTCTGTTACCCAGGCTAGAGTGCAGTGGCGCGATCTTGGCTCACTGCAATCTCTGCCTCCCAGTTTCAAGCGATTCTCCTGCCTCAGCCTCCCGAGTAGCTGGGATTACAGGCGCGCGCCACCAGGACCAGCTAATTTTTGTATTTTTAGTAGAGACGGGGTTTTTTTTTTTTGAGACGGAGTCTCGCTCTATCGCCCAGGCTGGAGTGTAGTGGCCGGATCTCAGCTCACTGCAAGCTCCGCCTCCCGAGTTCACGCCATTCTCCTGCCTCAGCCTCCCGAGTAGCTGGAACTACAGGCGCCCGCCACCTCGCCGGGCTAGTTTTTTGTATTTTTTTAGTAGAGACGGAGTTTTGCCCTGTTGGCCAGGCTGGTCTCAAAACTCCTGACCTCAGGTGATCCACCCGCCTCCGCATCCCAAAGTGCTGGGATTACAGGAGTGAGCCACTGCCCCCGGCCGAGGTGTCATCTTACTTAAAGTCAACTTCTCTTCGCTGAGCCTTAGTTTCTTCATATTTAAAGAAAGCCAGTTTAACTAAATGATCTTAAAAAATCTTTTCCTGCTCTCCATTGTGGTATCAGATGTGCCAGCTTTTGCTTAAAAGCACAAGCTTAGTAAGCGCGGCACACATTCCTAATCATTTTATCCAAAGTTTTAGATGTAAAATGTCTTAAAACAAAGTATGAATGTAAAATATTCACAGAATTCAAATGAACTTAAAAATTTTGACACTATTGCCAGACAGTTCACACTACTTCTCCTGACTGTCCCAGGCCATAATGTTAACTCCTCAGCAAATAGGGACACTTCAGTGGAAGTTTGAGAAGCACTCCTGCCTTAGAGCAACTTTGCCTCCTTTGCATATAGGCTGTTTGCCATCGGCTCCCAGCTGTCTCCTGAACAGGGAAGCTCAGGCATTGAGATGCTGGAGACAGACACATTCAAATTGCACTGCTACCAGACACTGACAGGTATGCATCTCCACGGAGGCCAGAGGAGTGTGATGGAGAAGGTGGGGAAGAGACACTGACAAGTTTGCATCTCCAGGTGGGCCAGAGGAGTGTGGTGGAGAAGGTGGGAGGAGGGGATTGACCAAAGACACCTTTGGTAAGCAGGAAGAGGGGGTGTACTTTTCCTGGCACAATTCTTTTTTTTTTTTTTTTTTTTCCTGAGCTGTTTCACTCTTGTTGCCCAGGCTGGAATGCAGTGGCATGATCCGCCTCCTGCGTTCAAGCGATTCTCCTGCCTCAGACTCCCAAATAGCTGGGATTACAGGCATCCGTCAACATGCTCGGCTAATTTTTATATTTTTAGTAGAGACGGGGTTTCTCCATATTGGTCAGGCGGGTCTCAAACTCCTGACCTCAGGTGATTGCCCACCTCGGCCTCCCAAAGTGTTGGGATTACAGGCATGAGCCACCACACCTGGCCCACAATTCTTTTTTTTTTGAGATGGAGTTTCACTCTGCCACCCAGGCTGGAATGCAGTGGCATGATCTTGGCTCACTGCAGCCACCACCTCCTGGGTTTAAGCAATTCTCCTGCCTCAGCCTCCCAAGTAGCTGAGACTACGGATGCCCACCACCATCCCCAGCTAATTTTTTGTGGGGTTTTTTTGTTTTGTTTTGAGATAGAGTCTCGCTTTGTCGCCCAGGCTGAGTGCAGTGGGACGATCTTGGCTCACTGCAGCCACCACCTCCTGGGTTTAAGCAATTCTCCTGCCTCAGCCTCCCAAGTAGCTGAGACTACGGATGCCCACCACCATCCCCAGCTAATTTTTTGTGGGGTTTTTTTGTTTTGTTTTGAGATAGAGTCTCGCTTTGTCGCCCAGGCTGAGTGCAGTGGGACGATCTTGGCTCACTGCAGCCTCCGCCACCCGGGTTCAAGCAATTCTCCTGCCTCAACCTCCTGAGTAGCTGGGATTACAGGTGTCTGCCACCACGCCCAGCTAATTTTTGTATTTTTCTAGGAGAGATGGGGTTTCACCATGTTGGCCAGGCTGTCTCAAACTTCTGACCTCACGTGATCCACCTGCCTCAGCCTCACAAAGTGCTGGGATTACAGGCATGAGCCACCGTGCCCGACCTTCCTGGCACAATTCTACAGACACATCTGTTTGTTTGTTTTGCAAATACAAAACCAATATTTAATCTGAAACTGATTTTGTGCATGCCACCCAGCATGTTCAGCACAGGTTATCTTGTGTTCAGATAAAACTCACCTTAATGCTAGCTCTGTTGCATGTACTTTGGAAGGTGTTAAATGTCTTTCCAAAATGAAATGTGAAAGCCAAATGGATATGACCTTCGGATTGCGAGTGTCATTGCTTCACCCCTTAATTTACTGAAAACTGCCTGAGTTTGTCCCTTGCCTAGCAATGTTTCTGCTGAGGGACTCCAAAACTGTTAGTTAGTAAGTGGTAGAGCTAGAACTCAAAGCTTGGTCTTAATCAGTTGGGTGACATAATAAAGTTACTTCACTTCTCTGGTCTCATCAGTAGATTCAAAGTCTTGCCTTTCCTGCATTATGTGGTAAAAAGAATAAAATTAAAATGGGCTTATAAAAGTGTTTTGCAAAATTGAAAGTACTGTACAAATACAGAATGGCACTATTTGCTCCAATGTCTACCCTTTGGTAACCATTCTTGTTCTCTCTCCAGGGATCAAGTTTGTGGTTCTAGCAGATCCTAGGCAAGCTGGAATAGATTCTCTTCTCCGAAAGATTTATGAGATTTACTCAGACTTTGCCCTTAAGAATCCATTCTACTCCTTAGAAATGCCCATCAGGTAAGTGGCTCCACTTCTAGATACTGGTTAAAGCCTCCTTGCCCCAAGCCTCCTTGCCCCTCCCTGTGTGCTCTGTCCAAAGTTAGTTGAAGCATAGTAGAGTATTACTTTTTTTGTTTGTTTTCGAGACGGAGTTTCGCTCTTGTTGCCCAGACTGGAGTGCAATGGCGCGATCTTGGCTCGCCGTAACCTCCGCCTCCCAGGTTCAAGCGATTCTTCTGGCTCAGCCTCCCGAGTAGCTGGGATTACAGGCATGTGCCACCACGCCTGGCTAATTTCATATTTTTAGTAAAGACAAGGTTTCACCATGTTGGTCAAGCTGGTCTCGAACTCCCGGCCTCAGGTGATCCACCCGCCTTGGCCTCCTACAGTGCTGCGATTACAGGCGTGAGCTACTGCACCTAGTTGAGTATTACTTTTAAGTAAGACAGAAGGACAGGCAGGTGGCTCACATGTGTAATCTCAGCACTTTGGAAGATGGGGGGGTAGGATCACTTTAGCCCAGGAGTTTGAGATCAGCCTGGACAACATAGACCCCATCTGTACAAAAAAAAAAAAAAAAAAAAATTAGCCTGGTGTGGTGGCAGACACCTGTAGTGCCAGCTATTAAGGAAGCTGAGGTGGGAGGATTACTTAAACTCAGAAGGTCAAGGCATCAGTGAGCCATGCTCATGCTACCGCATTCCAGCCTGGGCAACAGAACAAGACAGTGTCTCTAAATAAATAAGACAATCGCTGGGTGCAGTGGCTCACGCCTGTAATCCCAGCAATTTGGGAGGCCGAGGCGGGCAGATCACTTGAGGTCAGGAGTTTGAGACCAGCTTGGTCAACGTGGTGAAACCCCACCTCTACTAAAAATACTGAAAATACAAAAATTAGCCGTGTGTGGTGGTGTGCACCTGTAATCCCAGCTACTCTGGAGGCTGAGGCAAGAGAATCACTTGAACCTGGGAGGCAGAGGTTGCAGTGAGCTGAGATTGTGCCACTGCATTCCAGCCTGGGTGACTCTTTAGAGAAAACAGTCTTTCCTTGGGGTTTATGTCATTTTTTTGGTTTTTTTTGTTGTTTGTTTTTGAGACAGAGTTTCACTCTTGTCACCCAGGCTGGAGTGCAATGGTGCGGTCATGGCTCACTGCAACCTCTGCCTTCTGGGTTCAGGCAATTCTCCTGTCTCAGCCTCCAGAGTAGCTGGGATTACAGGTGCCCGCCACCATGCCCAGCTAATTTTTATATTTTTAGTAGAGACAGTTTCACCATGTTGACCAGGCTGGTCTCAAACTCCTGACCTCAGCTCATCCACCAACCTCAGCCTTCCATGATACATGTTGTTCTTCAAGCAGTTTCCCCTGGCTTAAGTGGGGAGAAAGCCTCAGGCCTCACGCTTTTTTTCCCACCTTGGGCCTGGCTTAGGTGTGAGCTCTTTGACCAGAACCTGAAGCTAGCCCTGGAGGTGGCAGAGAAGGCTGGAACTTTTGGACCTGGGTCATAGGCTGAACCTGTGATGGACCCCCAAATTCTGAGAGTTCCTGCAAAAGGAATACTGCTGTTTATACTCCAGTGGAAACCCCAGCAGCCTTGTTAGTGCACTGGAAAATGGGAGAATGCGGACCCTGAAGACAAAACTGATTCCTGAGCCTTAACACTGTGTTCTTCCTTCTGTATATACCATGGTCTTACTTTCCAGCTCTGTATGGATTTATTTTTGGAGGAGCTAGGTCCATAAATGTTGTAATAAATATTCCTTTGATCTTGGTGTTTGCTCTCTATCTTAATCGATGGTTTTGGGGGAAAGGTAAAGGAAGGGAGACAAAAATGGTGAGGGAATTCTGGGAAGATGATTATGTTCTAGTAAAAAACATAACAAATATGTGTTCATTAAATAAATGAACATAAGATTTTGAAGCATGAGCACTGGATCTAGTCCCAGAATTGCTGCTGATTTCCTGGGGTCCTGGGGTGGTGGTGGCCATGGTGGTGGCTGTTATAATGATGATGATGGGCTGGGCACGGTGGCTCAAGCCTGTAATCCCAGCACTCTGGGAGGCCGAGACGGGCGGATCACGAGGTCAGGAGATCAAGACCATCCTGGCTAATACAGTGAAACCCCGTCTCTACTAAAAAAGTACAAAAAAACTAGCCGGGCGAGGTGGCGAGCGCCTGTAGTCCCAGCTACTCCAGAGGCTGAGGCAGGAGAATGGTGTGAACCCAGGAGGCGGAGCTTGCAGTGAGCCGAGATTGCGCCACTGCACTCCAGCCTGGGCGACAGAGCGAGACTCCGTCTCAAAAAAATAAATAAATAAAAATAAATGATGATGATGATGGAACATATATCAAGCACTTACAGTCAGGCATTCCTGCTTTGTCTCACTTGATCTTCACCCTAAGTCCAGGGGGTTCGTTCTGTTACAGATTTAGCAGACTTTCTGCCTCAAAGTTTCCAAGCTAGTTACTGACAGTATGGGTTTGAACCTAGGCTTTCTGACTACACATTCAGTAAACCACTGTTACACTTCCTCCCTCCATCAAGTTATTTAACCTGTCCACAACCCAATAGCTTTATCTCTAAAATAGTCATTGAACTATTCAATGTTCAGGTGAAGGCAGAGGAGGCATGAGCTTTAAAGGAGTCCATCTACACTTCAGCTTCCCGATTCCAGGGAAATGAAGTCTTTCCCTTTTGGGGTGGCAAGAGCAGGTATCAACAGTATTTCCCAAGGAAGCTGTCTCACTTTGAAAAAATGAATCACTGACAGTGTTCAGTATCAAATCTAGTTTTAATCTATAACAAGTCATCTTTTCTTCCCACCTATACCCAACTGCGCCTAGTGGTACAGTGAGAGTGATAGCCGCCTCTCTTTCCCTGGAGTCTGAGGTATTGGCAACAGCTGTCGCCCACTGCTGAGAGGACTTAGGGCCCAGCAGAAGTCAAGGGCCATTAGTGCCCTGCAGCTGCAGGGATAGCCTCACTTCAGGTGGGGATGGGGTAGGATGGGGACAGGATGGGGCCTAGGAAAAGAAGAAGGGTACAGGAGGCTTCCTGACTGCAGAAGTTTTCTGTTTGTCTGAAGGCAGGAAATAGGAGCTAATGGAGTCTAAGGCCAAAGGTTATCTTTTAAATAGAGCATAGGACCGGGGAAACTGGGACCTCACTAGCCACTGATAGCTTCCAGCGCCACCTGGGTGAGGGAAAAGGCGCAGAAATGGAAAGTGAAAGGTTCAGGGCTAGCCAAGCAGGCCCCGCCTTTTCTTCCCCCCACAGCGTGCAGGGGGAAGGCCACCGTGGGATGGTGCTCTGGAACCTGGACTCTCTTCACTCAGCCTTCTTGGACACTCGGCCCATCTTGGTGCGGATGTTTCGTAGGAGGAAGAAGACAGCTGTGCTGGCTGCACACATCACTTCAGCCACCCAGAAGGCTGTGCTCCAGCTGTAGTGCTTGGCAATGGTGCTGAAGGGCAGCCCAGCCAGAAAGCCGCCCACTGTCAGGGGGAAGGGGATGAACCTAAGCCAGTGGTGCTAGCTCCAGCTTCTCACTGGTTTATATGCAAAGCACAGGTGGGGGTGAGGGAGAGACTCTAGAAGGTAACACTTACCATTGGCCATGAGTCCCACAATGGCGTGGGAGGTGCCACACAAGTTGGGAGGGGCACTCTCGTTGGCTATGACTCCAAACAGGGCAATGGGACCATACGAGGAGAAACCAAATACAGCTCCCAATACCAGGATCCAGAGCTGCCAAGGGCAGAGTAGAGTGGCATTCAGAGTTGGAAAGCTGACCTGCCTGCCCACCGCTGCCAAAGCGAGGAAGGAGGCTTGGTCCCCAGGAACAAACGGGAGTCATAAAGGGACAGTAAGTAAGTGACCCTTTTCCTCCCACTCCCCAACACAATTGACAGTACAGAGCTAGAGTAGCAGATGCCACATTGAGCAAACCCTGGGACCTAGGTGGGCAAGGAAAGGAGGTACAGAAGTCAACCCTCCGAGCTAGAGGCTGTCCTCAGGATTCACACAAATTGGACTGGCTAGGGGTAAGGCAAAGGGGTAGGACAAAGGTAAGACAGACGAGGAGAAAAACCAGAGATATCTTTAAGGCACCTCATGCTCTGTAAAGCCTGTGAGCTCTGCGAGAGGGTGAAGAGCCGGAGTCCAGAAAGCAACATCCTAGAGAAGCACAGGGAAGAAAAGAAAACCAGGCCCAGAGTGGAGGAGGAGAACCCAGACACAGAGAGGAACGGTCCAATCAGAACTGAAAAGGGAATCTGAGAGGCAAAGAAAAGATTGGCCCAGGCTACAGCCAGGAGAGGAAGAGAGAGTCAGTGGCCCTTGCCTTCTCTCCTTGTGCCCTGCTGTGAGCCAGGCCTTTCTTAATTACCTTGGGGGAGTCACTGGTCACTGTTACCCGGAAGAGGTACATGGACACTGTCATGCCAGCCATCATGAACAGCAACAGGCCATGGCGAGGGTTCCCGTAGATGGACAGTCCCGCCTATGGATACAGTCCCGGCAATGTCACACCCTCAGAACAGGGCAGAGAACCCCCATCCCTGGACTCTGATACAGCAGGGACTCTGCTGACAGGTCTTTGGCAATCCCACCTCAGTTCTTGGCCCTGGGCAGCTCTGGGAGGCCCTGGGACCTGCTCATTACATTCTGAGGCCAAACTCCACAACATCCCTTCCTCCCCCATGGGGCAGGTCTAGGACACGTGCTGGGGAGTGCACCTAGTCTGTTCCCAGCCTGTTTTCCTGGGGCTGTGGAGAAACCTATAGCTAAGTTAAGAAATATTCTGGCTGTCCTTCACATCAGTTAAAATTCTCCCAAGAGCCTTACCTCCACCACTGTAGGAAAGCTAAGACCAGCCCGGAATCGTTCCCTCCTCACCCGGTCTAAACCAGCAGATGCCAACCTGCCTGTGCCCTGGGACTCCCATCTCTCCAGTGCCTGTCCCAGCCATGCTGTGAAGACTGAAAGGGACCCTTCTCCTTCCTGTCCCTTCTGCCCGCTCACCTTTGCCATGGCCCGGTCTGACAGGTAGCCAGCTGCGATGCTGCCTACAAGGCCCCCAACTTCCAGGGCACTCATGTAGGAGCTACCTGCAGTGGGGAGTTGTGGTAGGAAGAGGGAAGGGAAGGGTGGGAGGGTGTTACACATTGGGGTTGTCCCACAATGGCTTAAACCTGGAGAGGTACAGGGTTCCCATGGGTGACTGGCCATAGCTGCCTGAGTAGTGCCCGGCCTCAAAGAACGAATAAAGAGGATAAAGGGAAGCAAGGCCTGAATTTCCATCCCCTGCATTGGTTCCTGCTCCTTATGCCCACCCTTGTCCCCATGCTCATCTTACCTACAAGGGCTGACTGTCCCTTCTCCTGGATAAGGAAGAACTGGCCCCAGTCAGTACAGCAGGTCTTTACTCCAAACACCACAAGGTAACCAGTGGAGAGCACCCACAGGTAAGGGGACAGCAGCAGCTGCTGTAGGGTGCTCTCCTCCTTCAAGGAGCCTGGAGGTAGGAAGAGGCTGGGTGTCAGGCTCGGCTCTGACTGCTCTCCCCAACCTGAGCCCCCAACATTCATTAACCAGCTACAGGGGCAGAGTCCATCTGCACAGCCAGGATCAACGTGAAGGGTATTCCCTCACCCCACTGCTCTCCTCTCCCCTTCTCCTCTGCAAGCTCAATGAATGAAAGAGAAACAGGACCAGGGAGGACCAAGCCACTTAAGGACCAAGCTCAATGAATGAAAGACAAACAGGATCAAACAGGCCCAAACCACTAAAGCTCATGATTCTATCTATCCAGGACAGGGAAGTCTGTGCTGTTGTGAGGAAAGGCCAGAAAATAACATGAGTCACAGCTCTTGCTGGCTCTGCCACTTGTCGAGTATTTAACTGCCTCTTGGGATGGAGTTTTGTTCACTCCCCATGCAGCCTTCGTTACCACTCCTTCCCCCACATCCACTGACTAGCATAAGACCAGGCAAACGCCTAGTCTTCAACAAAAATCTGCCTGCTGAATGAGTGCCCCAGTGGTTGGCTTGGGTGGGGGCTTACCCTTCTTGCCCTTAGAGGGTGTGGGGTCCAGGTTGCGGAGTCCAACATCAGCAGGTTCATTGTGGATGAGCAGAAGACAGAGGAAGGAGACAACCACACACAGTGCCCCAGACAGGGCCAGCGTGCTGCGCCAGCTGTAGCTCTGGGCGAGGACGGTTGCCAGGATAGGGCCCAGCCCTCCAGCCAGGTTCATGCTGGTTGACAGGATGGCCCACCAAGTGCCAAACTGAGATGGCTCAAACCACTGTGGGGCAGAGAGCAACAACATAGGTGTCCAGCCTACTGCCCATGTTGAGGGTGGGGTCAGGTGGGGCAGCCCTAGAAGCTCACATTACAGGGAAGAGGGAGAGGGCGCTTCTGTTTGGCAGGGCAGTTCCCTCCTCTGCCACCTGATCCCACCACTCTCAGCCTCCTAAAATATCTTGACAAGCAATAGGAGCTGGCCAGGAACTGCTCAGGAACCTGCTCTGGGTTGGGTATGGAGGTGGTGGGTAAAAAGGGGCGCTCCCACATGCTCTTTAGGCATCCTCTATGACAATCCAAACAGGCTGTTTGGAAACACTCACCTTCCTCAGGACCTTCCCACATGGGGGCCAGCCCAGCCCCTGGGCCAGGCCATTAAGGAACCAGAGGGCAGCAAAGACAGGTACTGTGGAGCTCCAGGAAAAGAATATGTTGACCAGGCCAACCAGGAGCAGCCCAGAAGAGAAGAGCCAGCGAGCACTCATCTGGTCAGACAGCACTCCACTGACAAACTTGCTGATAGCATAAGCTGCTGACTGGCTGCTGGTGATGAGCCCTGCAGGGGAGGGGAGCAGGGAACAGTACACTTAGAGGTTAGGGACCAGGGGAGAAACACGGGAGCAATGGAAGAAGGCATGGGGTCAGGTGTGTAGGGGTGCCCAGTGGGGTGAGACAGGTTACTTCCCAGAGGAACAGGAGGAGCCTGCGCTGCAATCGGACACTCACACATGGGGCCCTACTACTTCTGCCACTTCTCCTGCCTCACCATCAGCACTAGCCCCAGACTGACCCATGATTCTCAGCTACAGTTGTCAGGGAACAAAAAGGGAGCAGGACATGGCAGCTCCCCATCCCTGGGATTTGCATATGGGATTTCCCACCTCACCCTGGATGCCAACCCCGGGCCTCTAGCAGTTCTGTTGCTCCACCACCCAACATGGGGCGAAGGGCTCAGGATTGGAGTCAGGAACCCTGTCCCTCCTGAAAGGTAGCATGCCAGGCCACATGAAGTCATTGTGCCAACTTTTTAGTTTCCAGTGCTCACAGTGTCAGTAGCCAGCACTCACCCTGAAGCCTCCACATGCACCCAAACAGATGTGAAAACCATGCTCAGAAGTCCCCAGACACTCTCAGAATAAACAGTGCCTCCAGGGGCATGCGCACACACATCCACACACATCAAATAAGCAGCCCTCCTTAGCCCTGCATGCACCCACATCTATGGATCTCAGAGCCTCTTTTTCTGGCACCTGGCCTCTACTGCACAGACACTCCACCCACACGACATGCCCGTACACAAACACCCAGTGTGTCCTGCTGGTTCTGTGTCCCCAGGCCCACCACCCTGCTGTTTCAGGGCTCACCCAAATCATCCTTGTCCAAAGGGATCTCTTCCACCACTGATGGCATGACAAAGGAGAAGGTCTTGCGATTGAAGTAATACAGGCTGTAGCCCCCAAACATGGCCGAGAAGATCACAGTGCGGTAATAGCCATAGCCCTGGGCTGCCATGGTAGAAAAGAGCAGGCCCTACCAGCCAAGACGCACAGCCTTTGACCACAGCTTCTGCTTGCCACTCTCACAGTTCCCAGATCTGCTGAGTTGGATTTTTTCTGCTCCCTCCTCCACCCAGCCTCCCAGGCTCCCTTTATAGCCACCTCCTGGACAATCATTAAGCCTGGGGAGGCTCCTAGGGGACCCAGTGTCCTGAGGGAAACAAGAAAACAACAGATTACTGATCGCCAAACTGCAGGGGGTGGAGGAGGTCCCAGAACGAGGCATGCCTGTGAGCCAGGCGAGCACCCTGTGTCCCCAGGATTTCTGCCTTTACCTCCTCTATCATGTCTGCTTGCCTGTGAAACCAGCTTTGATTAAAGGTTCAACCTAATTACTTTTGTCTGCATGAGCCCAGGGGAGGCAGGGGTGGGATGAGCAGAGATGCCCTCTCTAGCCCTGCTCCCTCAGTCACAGAACCTTCTCATTCATTCACGAAAGGTTTATTAACTTACTAGTTGACAGACACTACACTTGGCACTAGGTTAGTTTCTACACCCACTCACCACCACCCCAGCAAAACACAAAGTCAGACACATACCCCGTCTACCCCACTTCTAAGCCTTCTAGAGAGGGCCTCAATCCATAGAACTCTCAATCCTTAGCACAAAATAGATGTAATTGTTTCCTACAGTTGCCCCCTGTAATTCTAAGCAAAGGGGACCTCCCCAGTTCAGGTCCCACGGTGTCACACAGAAAGCCCTGCTAAGCTCTGATGGGGCCCCACAGAGCTACCTCTGGATCCCCATTACCCTGCGACGTCAGTCTGGGCTTCCTTCGGGCTGGCTGGGGGCTGCAGGGTCTGGTTTCCAACCTGGGGGACGTTGGCAGGGGCCGCAAGCAGCGGGACTGGGCAGCCCGTGGGCGGGAAGGTGCACAACAGTCCCGCCCAGGGCCCCGGCAACATGCCCCGGCTTTTCCGCTCAATTGGTAAAGTAACTGGAGCAGAAGGCGTAGGCGCACGCGGAGCGAGGGACCGCACGTATTCCCCCGGAGGCCCCGCGCTTCTGGCACCCAGAGGCTCAGCCTGGTAGGGGAGGTCCAGGCGGCGGGCGGGGGAGGAGGAGAGGCGGCGGGCTCCTGGCACCTGCCCAGCCCCGTGTCCTCACGCTACTCAGGACACGCGATTGTGCGGCTGGAAACCACGGGGCCGGGGGTGCAGGAGCTGGAGAGGTGCGGATACCACAGGACTGGCGCCATAGAAAGGGGTCTTGTGCTGGTCAGGGGCAGCGTCTCGGTGCCCCCAAGACCCATGAATTGTCTCCGGAACTGCAGGAACAGCTCCAGGTCGTATCGGAAGTTGGGGTTTGCCAACAATGGATCCCCAAGACCTGAGAGCCCCGCCCTCAGGTGACGCCCCTCCCCCGCATACCGCCCCTACCTGAACAGAGGCAGGAGCCCGAATAGGACGGGGCGGAGCCAGCGAAGGCTGCGCATGCGCAACTGGCGGGGGCGTGGTCTTCTCCTGCTTCGCTTGCCGGCAAGTGGAGTTCTCCGCGCCACATGCCGGGGACATCGACTTACTCCCTTCCGCCGGTCACGCTGCTCCTTGGACCAACACAGCGCCCCTTACGGATTGAGCACGACATGTCCAATTCTTAAGTGGTTGCATTCAGCAAACCATGTTTTTAGTGAGTGCCCTCCTCTACAAAACACATGGAACACTGAGGTGGATAATCATTGTTCCCAAGTTGCTCACAGTCTGGGAAAGGTGTTGTAAGATAACACAGCATTTTTTTTCTTTCCTTTTTTTTTTTTTTTTTTTTGAGACGGAGTCTCGCTTTGTCGTCCAGGCTGGAGTGCAATGGCACAATCT